AACAGTTAAAGTAAAATGAGCTCAGTGATGCCCAATAGGGAAGTGCTCAAAAATGAACTATGAGCACTTTCCTATCGGGCATCATTGAGCTAGCGAGTAAGAATTGGCTCTCTATATGCAGTCTATTCATCATCAAAGCAGGTTCTGACATGTCTGTGTTTGCCCCTTTATTCTGAGACGTATAGCACATGCTTTTCATTAATTTGGAATAATAAACAGACAATTCTTTGACTGTGAAGTTATATAAACATCAACAATAAGGATACAAACCAAATGTTCATGTTTTGAAAAGATTATTTTAAATGCTCTTTGATTTTCACTTTGAATAAATGAAACACTGTGCTGTGTAGTATTGAGCCTTTGGCAACACAATCCATCTTCATTTTTGATGAAAGCCTATGGGCTGGTTGGTGTAGAGTGCGACTTCTTCCAGAGCCTGCATATTTACTTCCAGCTCATTTATTCTCATTATGCACCCACAGACGTCAATGAGGGGATTTCTGCCCCACACTGATATTCTATGATACAGAAGGAGCAGAGGGAGAGCGCTGAGAGCACACCAGGGTAAACAAGACGGAAGCCGCTCCACGGGGGGTGCCTTCATTCATGCTCTGCCCATGAACTTTGACACCTTTGACAGAGGTACCCTCTGTTCCACACCAATCTGTGACAGCACCAGCTCATTCTTTCACGTTCACTCAGTCTCCATTGGAAATATCACATTCAGCATCACGTAATGAGGCTCTGCCCAGTCTGGCAGGGGAGGTGCCACTATTGGTGGGCGTTGTCCATTCATCGTCAATTGTTGAATGAGACTGCTTCAACTGTTTAAGTTACAATTGTCTACTGTTTGTAAGAATGGCAATTGAATTTGACAATGAGTCATGAAATTTATTTTATTTCTGGCTACTTAAAGACCAAGACATTACACCTCTGTTTTAAGGACACAAACTGAAATGTATGTGCATAACTTAAGTCAATATTTATTGTTGTGTCTTAACCTTGAGCCTCTCTGAATTAGCTGTAACACATTTACTCTTGATGGATAAGCTGCGGTTGAGGGCCGGGGGATAGCAGATGTTTCACAAAAACTCATTTGAGTGGAGGAGAGCACTCACTGTAACACTGAGTACCTCAAGAACATATCTGGTTACATTTATTGCCCCGTCAAGCCTGAGTATAATCTATTCAGTGTTATTATGGTGGACTAAATCAGGTTATTTAGATCCCAGTCAATCTGCTCATTTCCAGCTCTATGTAACTGACACGCATACTTCTTACTCCAAGGTGCCAGCTGGAGACGGAGGAACCAGCTGTGGAGTGGATCTGGACCTGTGGCACCTTCAGCCTTCATCTGTCGCCTTTTAGTAACATGAGCTCACTCATCCTGCTGCAGATGACTTCTTCTTAAAATACTTGAAGTCCTGAGTGGATTTAGGAACCCAGAAACACCCTTCAATTAAACAATTTCAAGTGTGGTTACATATATATGCACTGTCAGTATTTTATGGTGCTTCTATGATGAAATAACTTCCTCTGTGTATCGTAAATAAAACTCTAAATCACTCAAGCCTTTCAAGATAAGTAAAATAAAACATGTGCCGAGATATAGATATTGTAAAGGAAAAAACATGTGAATTGGTTTTTCCATGGTTTTACTATAGTAATACATGTTGGAAGTGATGGCTGTCTGCTCTAATGTAATTGTTACCAACATTATCAAAGGTCACACGTGCATCATGGTGGGATCCATTTAATATATTCTTACTATGAGGATGAGCACATTTACTGCTGAAAGTGACATTCACTCACATAGATTGGCAGAGGTGCCAAAAGACCAAAGCAGGCGTCACTCTGCTGTCCGTCCCTTGTGTGTGGCAATATCAAATGCAATACAACAGAAAGCACAGAACCATGTAGACCTGTAATTTCAGGAGCCTGACGTGACACAGGTGACAACTGTTGAAGTATGTTTCATAACGTCACTAAATTACTTTACTTACCTATAGAAGGAACGTGCTGTCATTTCAAGGTGGAAAATCCACTACTTTTCTGTCTACAGCTCAGTGGTTATTGGACAAATTGATTTCAAGCTGACCTTTGGAGTCCACTCCTCTGATCCAAAGAGTTGGTAATGATGCGGTGCTGTCAGGGGCACATATCAACGCTGAAATAGACACGGATTTTGTACATTATTAAGTAATGCACAGTTATAGTTCTCTATTGTGGGATTAATAAAGGTTTTCATCATATTCTGTGGTTAAATATTTACAGATTTCAATACCAGGTATCGTTGAAGTGAAGTAAACTGTGTATATAGATATGTTTTATGAGTGGTTTATGAGGTATAATTGTATGGAACTTTTATGCAACATTTTGTGAGACTATGTTAAGGCTGAGCTGGTCATTACAAGAGTCTGCAGAACTAACACTTTACCACTTGATGTTTGGTCTGAATGTGGTAGCAAACATATCTACTTAGGGTTACGCCGTGCCAGAAGCTAAGGAAGCTATCATTTTGTCGCCTTGTTATGAAACCATGTGAATGCCGTGAAACTTGTCGTGACATTTATGCTGTGTACCAACAATAAAACATGTCTTCTGCTGTGACACAATCCCAGACCTTTGCCCCGCACCCTTCTTTTGATGCAAGATGTGAAATATGTACTGACTCCTCCTCTAATGCCCTGACATAGCTTATTCATTGCAAATGTATTGATCTGAGTGCATCTCTAATTACACAACCATTTCCCATATTATTTTGTAGTTGCTTTGTATTTATAATAATAATAATTTTAACAATGTATTGGTTTTGTACAGCACTTTTGGACAGTCAAAGACCGTCCAGACAGTTATTAATTTATACATACAAACTACATACTTTTGCTATTTAGATTCAATGTCTGTATTTAATCAATTCAATAATTATGAATAAAACATATTCATCCTCTCAAATCTGCTCCATGCTCCTAGTTAACAGTTGTTTACATAAAAAAAAAAAAAAAGCTAAACTCCTCGCCACATCTGTCATATTCTTCTCTATTCTTTTGTATGGCGCAGAATGACCTGACTTGTTAAAACCGTATTAACGATTAGGAAAGGATGGGTTTTTTTTGTGCTCATTAAAAGCATCAGCCACCCCTGTGTTGATTTGGGTCCCTCCTGCATTTTTTCTATACTATGGTGCTGGGGGGAAAAAATCCATAATATTGAAGGTAAGATGAATGGAGCAATGTGCCAGCAAATTCTTAAGATGAATCAGCCTCCCTCCAGACAGCAGCCACAGCTGGGCTTCACAGGGCAGGAAGCAGCCACTGACAAGGAAAAGACAGCAGAGACCTGGGTACAATCTATATCTTTCCCCACACAACTGTTCAGCCCCGGGGGTAAACACTGATTTGATTCTTCTGTTTAGTTTTCCCTTTTGCAGTTTCCAGTTTTAACCAATCAAACTCCTCACTATTTCCTAGTGATATTGTTTTCTTGTATCATATCAGTTTGACTACTTCAAATTGATCAACTATATTAGAGTAACGTTGTCATTGGCATAGTTACAAGTCTATATTATTTGCACTAGAATACACACTTATTTATCATTTCCCCTTCTTCATAATATCTTGTTATAAGGTAGAGATTTTACGCTTCTGTATTGAGCTAAAGCCTGTTTTTTTGGATCATTATGCTAAACATAGAGATTTTACACTAGTTTCTTCTTCATATAGTGTTGGATATTTGTGTTTTATTTTATTTAGAATAGAGAAATTGTTCATTTATCTTGTGCCGTGTGCTCCTCATTCCTGCTATTCTGCAACTTGTGATGCAACACTGACATTTTCCCACTCTGCGACAAAAATGCATCTCTTATCTCTCTCTTCATCTTATTCTTTATATTTTTTTACCATGCATATTGTTATAAGTACTGTTTCCGTGTGTTGTTGTTAGCAGCTGGTTTAGGAACACTGTCATCATGTGCATGAGGCGTCCATGTTAACAGTTTAGAACATTTGGGTCATTATGGTCAATGCTTTACAAATGCTAAGAAACCGCTTTGCTTTTTAGAAGTTCCTTTAGATTTGGGTCGTGATTTGTCGTTAGTGCAGTGACTATTGACACGTGTGGTTATACTTTCCATTCATTACAAATCCATCTATGGATCTTTCTGGGTTTTTTTGAGTCGATCCTTGCTGATGCAGGAGGGTCTAAGGACAGTGATGATCCAGAACATTTAAGGACATTCATGGACAATTCAGATTCAGATTCATTTTATTAGCCATACATTCCCAAAAAAGGCACTCTGTGTGCACCGACAGAAAAAGAGCACGATACAATGTAATATAAAATACACATACACTGGAAATAAAAGAATAAAAAAAAACAGCTGACACTGTCGCACCGATCAATAAAAACGATACAAGGGGTAAAAGCAGGAATTAAAGTGCTCTGTTTAGACACCTAACAGCCTGTGGAAAGAAGCTGTTAGCATAGCGAGATGTCCTGCATCTCAGTGAGCGATATCTTCTCCCAGAGGGAAGAAGCTGGAACATGGTTTTACCAGGGTGGCCAGAAGAGTCACATTTATAAACATTTATCCTATGTGTTTGTTATTATTGCATTTCCAGTCTTTGATTCTCTGATCTGTCGTTGGTAAATCAACAACTTTTAAAACTTCTGAGAGGCCAGCTGTGATTAAGGGCTATGTAAAAATACAATTGAATTTTACTCATAGAAGAATATCAAAGCAGTCTTCTCTCCATCATTTCGAGTTCATCAATCAACATAATTCTTTTCACCAACATAAACTGTAATAATCTAAAAATGAGCTAGAAAGTATTCCAGCTATCTTACAATTCAATCTTACGTAACTACACATTTTCTACACAAGTATATTCTCCCCAACACAACACTAATTGCCATAATAAGCCCCATCAATTACGCACTGCCCTGGCACATTTAACAGCGATTTGCCCTCATTCATATTTTAACAGCATCCTCAGTAGTTTATGGCACCCCCCTCCCTGCCTGCTTCCCCTCTCCTCCCGCTAGAAACCTGTGCGTTGTGCGTTGGGGACTATAATGCCGCTGTCAGCGCCGGGGGGCTGGGGCAGAGGGAGCGCCATACCCCGGTCACTGCGCGGGGAAGTTGCGCCGCGTTGCCATGGGATCTCCCCAAACCCATTGAGTGCGTTATAGTCAGTCCGCTTTTATTCGTCTTTGTGAAGGAGGAGGGAAAAGGCGCTGTTACTTTTTTTTTTTTTCTCTTCTTCCAGAGGTTGTGGAAGGGGAGGGGGCGGTGGAGCATCCGAGTGAGGGGTGGTACTCCAGCTTTCACAACCGAGAGGCGAGAGCGACAGAGCGCGTTCAACTTTATCAGCAGCTGCAGTGGCATGAGTGACCCTTAAAGGTAAGTTGGATAAATCATTTGTTGCACGCCATAGATGTCTTATTTTGATTTTGACGAGCGCGTTGACCTGGCTACGTTTTTTTTTCTTTTTTTTTTTCTTTTTTGCCCGTGCTGAATGGATGCGCGCGTGTGCACCTGCGTGGACACAGTCATGCAGGTGATGTGAAGAAGAAGGGGAAAAAATGCTGTCACGACTTTGATAAAACACGGCAGGCTATCTCTAAATATTTCTGAGGTTATGATTAAGTTCATCAACAGGGTGACCTATAGTGCTCTGGCTCAATACAAAACATGTAACTTCCAATTCTGAAGCTTATAGTTGTGTGTATGTGCAAAAAAAAAAAAAAAAAGAAGATGGACATTGGACTTAATGAATCTTACTGCTGTAAACGGTGACGAGCGTGGTCCTGGTGATAATGTACTGCTGCTTATCAGTGCTGCTCATGATGAATACTAAGGCATGACTGAATCATACCTTGGATGATAATGTGAGGGAAGAGGAGCCTGTGCTGAGCAGAATACCAAAGTGCACTTCTTTCCTATTGGTCTGTCAACTTGCTTTATACCTTTACTTTTCCTAAATAGGTGAGTCTGTACCCTCTTTAATGCAGCCTTTAATGGTTTCCTCAACCATTTGGTGAATCACTTTTTGAGTCACTATATCCACCAGTGAGTATTGAAATCTACCTCACTGGGGCATCTCTATCACTTGGTTTGAGACACTTTTTCCATCAAACTGCAGTCATCCATTTGGTAAAATAAGTAACATTATTATAGGAGTTATTAGTTCTTCAAGGACTGAACATCAATATTTAGTTTTGTCATTTAACCCTCTTAATTTTGGCAGACAATAAACTGTATTTTAGCAGGACAATAATGGAATCGTTTGCTGGGTCCTATTCATGTTTAAAGACTGATGTGGTATTAGGCTGTTCATCAATGTGATTAGCTTGATTAGATTGATCAGCTATGTTGCTCCTGGGCTTTTTCCATTGGATTTCCTCACTGCAATACTGTCTTTCGAGATTGTTTCAGCTTTCTGTTTTGTTTTTAGCTTCGTCAATGTTGATCATTCATTCTGGAGCTCTCTATAAGACAATACATTTAAACATATTTTGTCCTGAGCATTAAATTACTGCAGTGAAAACGTTAATGAAGTTGTTATACACATACAATGAGAATAATTGCATGTCTATATTGTGCATTTTTGTTCACAGTTGCTTTTCACACGTACAGAAAGTGAGACACCATTTTACATTGATTGATGAGACTTGAATGAGTGTGATTAAAAACACATTATGGTGCCCTTTAAATTAGAAAACTGTTGCGTGTGCTCGTTTCCTATTCCTGTAATAAGTGGGGGTGTTCCCATGCAGGCTTGTAAGCATTTTTAGATCAATCCAAGCAACACTTTTAACTTTACAGTGATTCCCCAAATATGAATATTAAGTGCTATGCAAATCATCACACACTTGGTAAACTCCAAATGTTGATTTCTTGCTCTTGTTTTCATGCCTTTGAGGAACTCCCAAGAAGCCACACGTTTTAAACCATAGTTGGATATTCATATTCTTTTTGATTTCATTGTATCTTTATTCATCGCATCTTGGCCTGCATTGTTTGAAGCTAAATTGTAACACATTTTCTGCATAAAACACATGCTTGTCCTATTTCCTCTGCATGCATTCTGTCAGCTGTAACTCTTGGGGCTCTTGAATGTTAATCCAAAGACTTGTTGAAGGTCAGGCAGTGATTAGAAGCCACCGGTCCTCTCTAAATCCCATTGTGTTTGATCCATGCCAACTTCAACGCATGTAACCATCTCTAAAATGCAAGATGAGATGCCTGTGTCGCCTCCAAATGAAACCATGCACTATATTATTCCTAAACATTTGGACCAATGATGTTTGATCTAACCATGTGAGGATATGAATAAAAAGCGATGATGTGAAGCACCATGGTGGAAGAATGCAATTTTTCACATTTCAGTGAGAGTTAGCAACAGTTTTTACAATTTTACCATCTTTATGGGCAATATAAGTATGCTTGCCAAGATAATTCTCAACTTAAAGTCTTCCCTGAGATGACTGCTGTAGTGATATAGGACTATAGAAATCTAAATGGAATTATATTGGATGATTGCAATAGTTTCGACTTATCTTTCAGTGATTGATATTCTGTTCGGGACCTCAGTATTCATTTAATGTATATTTTCTGTGCAAAAGTGGGAAGATTTTAGCTGTTCTCTTTATAAAAACGTTCAATGTGTAGATGGTTCAATCTGACTGAAGATGACTTAATTCTGCTGTTTATTTTCCCAGTGCAGGTTTTTAAATGAAAAAGACTCATGTACAATTGTTTTACTGGGATGCTGTATTGTACTTTCACCTGAGATATACTGTAGTTTCATATCACAGATTGTTTATGGAAATATTTTTCTTCCATCAAAATGAGTTACTGTGACAGCCCTAAGAATTACCAACACTTCTGTTGTGCAGGCTTGGTTTAAATCAGAAACATGTGGATTATGGTCCTGAAAGAGCATGAACAAAACAATAAGGCGGCATGGCAGAGTGATTTCGAATCCTGGTAAGAACAGGACCTTTCTAGGTTGAGTTTGCATGTTCTCCCTGTGTCTGTGTAGCTTTACTCTTTCCGGATGCTTGTATTACAGCCCCGCATATACTCCCCCACTCACTCTTGTCTGGGCCCAGGACACCCCTGAAAAGGACACATCTCAGAGGGACTTTTATGGTTAAATAAAGTTCAATACAAATGCAGCAGTGCCCATAGAACCTGTTGTCAATAAACTGTGCAATTAGGTGTCATAAAAAAACAAAAAATTAGTGCATTTGTGTAGACCACCTTTTACTCGTAGTGTTCAAACTTGTTCCACTGGTAAATAAGCCTCCTTGTCAAACTACTATCTCCGTTTACGTGGAACCCACACATCGCAGGAGATTAGAAGATGCCTAAAATTAATTTCTAGGCCAAAGACAAGAGGCTCTAATGGGCACTTGTCGTCACACGTGGTCCCGCTACTCCTCTGTATTCAGGCCAGTGGTGCTTTGTGTCCACAAGTAGGTCGAATGCTTCTCACCAAACAATTTGAACGATTGCCAGTAATTGGACAAGCAAAAAGTGGCGCACCATCTCGCCCGTGTCAGTCAGCCAAGCAGCCAGGGCAAAGCCAGCATTGGTTCACTACTTAATATGCACGACCAACCTGGGCGCATTTCATGGACCTTTTTCTATCCTCTTTAATCATCAAGATGACAAAATGCTAAGGAACAGAAGTGCCTTTGTCATTCTGGAAACTGTTCTTTTTCTATGTTGAAGGTGGATGCAAATTACTTATCAATACAATTTTTCTTTGTTGGTATTTGTCATTCGCATTCTATCCTTTGCAAGATGAAATCGTTGTAGAATAAAAAGAGGAAAGACAAAGCAGCATGTTTGCAGATCGTTCTACATTTGATAAAAACATGCACTTGCCTGATGAGTGTTCTTTTATTTCTGCACTTCTGTGTCTATCCTCTGGCACATGAATCTCAGCACGCTCCCAGGAGTAGGACGGATGAAGTGCTGTTATCTCCATCTATTCAAACAGGTGTGCTGGCTGCAGATGTGTGCACACTTTGAACATGTTTGTGTAGTTTGTGTAGTTTGTGTACTGCGCCAACGACAGAATGAAGTGGACTGCAGCTATCAATTCTCTGCCGTCCACAACTTAAGGCAATAATGAAGTGTAATGAAGTTAAATAATCAGCTAGTTGAACGATTATTCTTTCGATGAGGTGTGTTGATCTCGAGGGCATTGAATATGGGATTTTGTGTAAATGGGATCAAAGCAAGGCTCAAGCGATTCCTCTGGAGAATATATAGAATACAACACATTTCATTCTGCATTCATTTGAGAAATAGTCATAAAACCTCTTGAGAGCATCTTTAAATGACTAATTTAAACGATGAATCTGTAATAAGTCGACAACTCTTTCAATAATTGAGTCTATTTACTTTCACTTTATTACTTTCAATATAAGTCCTTAAATGCCTTGGTTCGATTCTACCTACAGCGCTTTTCGGTGCATCTGCTCTGGTTTCCTCCGGGTGCTCCTGTTTTTGGCGACCCCACTTCCAACATCGTGTGTGGATTTGTGACTGTGTCTGTGAAAGGCGCTATATAAATAACAATTGTTACACATGTCACGTTCAGTACAGTGCAGTGTATTAACAGAGTTTCTCGGTGCACTACTGTTTCACAGGGTTGTAAGATTTTTTTGTTCAATTATCTGATGAATTAAGGAAATTATATTTTAATGGATGAGATTTCAACATTTTCAGACGAATGAACTGAAACTGCAAAAGTGCCTAATGAATGACATGATTGTGTGGTTGTGTTGTGGGAGATTGTGTGAGAGGCCGGGGATTGGATATGAATAATATCTTGCTTCTGCCTTTTACCCCCTTGTCTTCAAAATGTTATGTGCAGGTTTGAAATAGATAAATTGATTGATTGATTGATTTTTTAAAAATAAAATCTATCAGGGTACATGGAGTAGGAATGGTAAGGGCGCAGTGACTACTACTAAAATATTGTGGTGATGAATGAGCATAAGCAGGTTGGTGTCAGTTCAGAAACGCAATCCAAAATGTATGGCTCTCAAAAGTATTCATATAGTATTTGCTTTGATCTATTGTACACACATTTTTATCCAATAGAATTCAACAGAATGCAACATTGACGTAGTGTTGGTAACTAATAGTTTGGAAGCTACCAAGAGAGTCGCTAGATATTGGTGTTATGTGTGTAGATGTGTGTCTAAGCTCTACAAGACTGTTTTGTGCTTATGATGAAAAGCAATTTCAACACACAAGACCGTATTTTAAATCCACGAGGGATGAGAAAGATTTTGGCAACAAGGAAAAATGTATATGTATGTGCCATTCTACATGACAAACACGTCAAAAGCTGTGTGTAGAAGTTGATCTTATTAG